AATACCTGCAACCAAATTTACCAGGTCACGACATTTTGCCTCTGCTCTTAGTGCTCCTGGTGAGCCTCAGATAAGAGCTTACTGGTGTGCAAACATCATAATTGTTTGAAACCACTCACTGATGTAGAGACTCATTGACATGCAGCATTCCAATGAAACGCTGGATATCCACAAGTCTTTCTTGAACAATGCAAGCGAGAAAGGAAGCATACAATCATATTGTATTGGGGGACATTCTACAGAGTGTTTTTTTTGTATATTTTACAGATTTAAAAAAAAAAGCCGTAAAAGCTACATTTACGCAGTCTGTACACGTGAGTTATATGGCCAGGGCGGCATAGTATAAAAGGCTAATTTGTAATGATCAGTCGGCTTATTACAGAGATGTGCCAGACTTCTTTCAGAAAACTAGATGGAGGTTCATTCTCGCGTGGTTTTATCCCGCGAATCTGAATATCCCGTTCGTTTTCCACAAAGATATAACTAAACGTGAGAAAACACAAAAAAAACATCCTACCAATAGTGACATCGTAAGAAGACCTTTCAGCCGCCAAGTGTGTGTCGCTTAAGGGCCGCGCGTCCAGTCGCAAGTTTTCTAGGTATATTCTCCCGCATTGGCACCAGTTGGACACATTTTTCTGCCCCTTTAAAAAATAGCATGTGCGTGCATAGCTTTCATAGGCGCTGAAGATGCGTGAACAAAGATTTTGAAAGCTGCTCTTGTGACGTCGCTCTCTAGGGAAGTGCTTTCAAAGCGCTTTAAAAATGACTCTATGCAGCCTCGATTAATTAAATTAGCAAATAATTTTGATATTTGAGATTCTGGAGGTCAAATGAAGAAGATTTAAAGGTGTTTTTTCAAATACAAAACCGCTTCAGCCTCTCTCTAAGTATAGTATGTTCCTGAAATTTTTAATCAGTGAAAATAGACCCATGGTTCCAATTAGAAACTTCTAAGCATCATCAAAACACACTAAATCAATTTTCTTTGTGAAGATATAAGACAAAAGCAGCATTTTATGGTGTTCTAAAAAAATGGTCAATTTGGACGCGTTTCCAGACTTCGGTTTCTTACCAGAGCGCATCTTTGCACCTACGGTCCTGCTGCCCGGTGGCCGCAGTGCGAAGCCGCCCCCTCGCCTCCCTCGTAGGATGGAGGGAAGCAAGGCGCACGTGTGTTGCGCGTCTAAGCCCCTGGGGAACAGGACCGTGGGCGCAAAGATGAGCTCTGATAAGAAACTGAAACCTAGAAACTCGTCCAAATAAAGCATTTTTACAGAACGCGTAAAATGCTACCCCTGCATTATATCCTTCTAAAAAGAGTTGATTTTGTGGTTTTCAGTGACTCAGCAAGTTTCCAATAGAAACCATAGTTTCATTTTCACTAATTAAAAAGTTAATTAACAAATTGTATTTAATTATCTGACTGATCGTTACGACTAGGTCCCTATACTACGTACGCCTGGCCATATAACTCGCCTGCTCAAATCGCATTAATTTAGCTTTCACGACCTTTCTAAACATATATGTAAAGCTTAAAACTAAATTGCCGTGTACAACAGTGAAAAGGCGAAACCACCATGTTGGAGCCATATGGCTCCAACATGCCGGTATCGCCTTTTCGCTGGTATAGGATGTCCCATATTACGTTATCCATGTATGGTTCCGTCCGCCTACATGGTTCCGCCATAATCCACTATGCCGGTATAGGATGTCCCATAATACGACACGCTTGTATGGTTCCGCCTACCTGTATCGTTCCGCCGTAATCCACTATACTGGAGCTGCCTTTTCGCTTGTATAGGATGTCCCATATTACCGTTACGCTTGTATGAGCCTTTTCCATCATCTTTCCATCATCGATATTTTCCAACAGGGTTGTGTTTTATATTTATATATTTATATGCATACCCACTCCTTTCAGCACCTAGCGGGTGCTCAAAGAAAATAAATGATGATGATATCTTATTAAATTTGAAAAATAATAAAAAATGCTGATGAAATCATTTCATAATTACATTTTGAACTTTAGAGGATTTGCAAGCGAGCAGGAATGTCCTCAAAATTCAAATCTAGAGTTGAACCTTAGTGATAGGTTTCAATGGTTATTACACTCGTGAGCTCCGGTCCAGTTAAACTCCATTGGGGATATGTGTACCAACTTTCCCTTTCTTCTCTTGCTTCTTGGTCCTGATGCCAATAACTATTAGCCTTCACCTTTTGTTCTACTCCCCTTTATATTACATTACCTTGCTCCACAGCGCCCCTTGGCCGGGAAGGGCCAAGGGGCTGTGGACTAGGGTTTAAAGCGATTCACGCCTTTGCAATCGCCGGTTAGTTTTTCCAATTAACCCCCCGACTTGCTTGAACACTTTTTTTTTCACTTGGTTTCTTTCATTTCGGGTGCAGAGCTCTTCTGATCATGCGCACCGCGCGATAGAGTCAAGCTTCACTTCCTGCACCTTTTCGCGTGCTCCAGGACTCACCACTTTGCATCATGGCAGAAAGCTGCGGCTGACGTAGAAAGCTGCGCCTAAATTAGCTAAATTGGCGAAACAAGTCGTCACCTTGATAAGTCAAGATTATCTGGTTACGATAATAGATGCACCCTCAATTTCAAAGAAGAGTACAAAACAATCTTCATATGTTTGAATACATATTTTAGTTATCGACAGCCGTGAGAGTCCACGTGAGTGATATTGCCGCGCGAGTGCTGTTTTCTGTTTCATTTATGGTCCACCGAAACGTTACTGCCCGTTTTCCGGTGCATTGAGGATTTACCCGGGGTAAAAGAATCAACGAGGTTCTTTCGCAATAGTTCTCCTAGATGTTCTAATATCAGTTTCAAGTACACAGGAGCAACTGGCCTGTCGACTGACATGTTTGTTTAACTTGACCCTGTCTCGCTTCAGAACGGAACTGCTGACTCCCTCTGAGCCCAACGCGGTTTCGGTCAATTCAGTACAGCATCTCACACCGCCGCCCAGAGGGTCAGCGCCCCCTCACGTTTCTCCCGCCTAAAGGCGACACTTCTCCCTTCAGCTGCACTTTGTAGGCGAGTGCAGAGCTCGTAAGCTAATATCACTCAGAAGACAAAGTATACGCCTTTCATTGGACATGGTACTTGTTTTACGGTATTCGCGATTAAGAAAAATGCTAACAATCGCTTTATAATTGGAATTCGCTGTGGCCACAAAAAAAAAAAAATATATATAAAAAACGTGGTCTCTTTTTATTGTGGCTTTTGAAATATATTCCTTCTATGGCTCTTTAAGTATGTCCATCTGGCCGCCCCTGAACTATAGAATCAAAGGCATGTCCTCTCTCAGACCGAGTGCTGATCAAAGCTGTGCACACGCTCTCCTCTTTTTCCGGGAAATAGAAAAATATAATTGTCCCCTAGCTCAGGTCCACGTAGCCGCTCGCGCCGTCTCACGACGAGCAGAATGATAGGGCGCAGCGACGACAATACGCACGTGTCTGCCGCTTTGCCATGTACTTCCTAAAAGCTTCAGGGCGTTTATCGCTTGTGTCGGTGTCCCCAATAGCGATGACGCGCTCGGCAGGTCTCGTCTCCTTGGCGGTACTATGCTACCTAGAACACATTTGCGACTGTAGATTTTACCGCGTCCTCTTTTAGGGCTACAATTTCTGCTCGAGGACGTCGCACAAGTCTCACGCTGTTTTCTGTCGCGATCCTGACGGCGGAATCACAGAGGAGGCAGATACGACCGATCTTTGCTCCGCTGTGCGTCCATATTCAGCTTGGCACTCCATGGAAACCTTGACAGCCAGGAGTTTGGGTCGCCCCGACGACGACGACATTCCTGTTACTTAAGCTTTTGCCAGAACTTTTCCGACCGACCACCAGGATTGCAACATCCAATAGCATGACACACCGGATCTTGCGATGTCGTTCGTTGCCACTTGGTGACCACTTTCGATGCATGGGCGGTGAAGGACGCTGAACACACAAGCCGGAGACGGGTTCCAGGCACTGCAGCGGTACTGGTTAAAGCGACCCGCTGAGTTTGGTCACAGCGAGACAAAGATTTAATTTTCCTCTCGCAGAGCGAGCGACGATAGCGTACGTAGATGGTTCGTCTGCTAACGTGAGCGAAGAACGCGATTTGTCTGCTACGAAGCGCCATTCTCAGACTAAAATTAAACAACGTTCTTTGTTGTCAAACCTTTTGTGTCTGCTTCGCTTGGCCGTACGTATGTTCTTTGTTGTCAAGCCTTTTTTGTCTGTTTAGGCGTTTTTGTCTGTGTCGCTTAGTCGTAGATCTATTAAGGACGCGACGGTGAAATAAAATTTCAAGCGCTTTTGCAGTTTTGTGTCTATCCTTCCGTTCCTTCTTTCCCCCGGCTTTAGGGTTACCATGTCAGTATCGAACCAGCTCGCCTGCACCCTTGCTTTAGCGTTATGTAATTTGCCTCTCGCGGAGCGAGCTAAGATAGCGTGCGCTTGTAGATGATTCGTCTGACAACACGAGGAAAGAACGCGGTTCATCTGCTACGAATCGTCATTAGCAGACGAAAATAAAACGAGAAAACACTACATCGTCTGCTAAGAGACCGGGAAGAAAGTTGATCGTCTGCTACAAACCGAGCGCATGCGGCGAAGGGAAATCGGGCGCAGGCTGAAATTGTGATAGTCCGCAATTTCACGTTGGAAGTCACCGATAACTCGAACTTCGTTTCCAAGTCTCAAGATGTTCTGCCAGCAAGCAGGAGTTAACATTTCCTGGTGGACATAGGAGTACAATTTACAAGCACGTCAAAGGCAGTGATACCTCTATTGCTATGTGCATGTTGGTGGGACGTTCTGACCAAAATATTGCTCGAGTGTGACTTCGCGAACCAATCAAAATTGTTGCATTGACTGATTAAGCGCAAGCCATTGGGCCAAGTCTAATCAACAGCCGAGAGCGCTCTCACTTTTGAGTAAACCAAAATCGGACACCTGGCGCAGAGCGAGGCAAGAACGCGTAAGTTACCGTCTGCAAGTTTCCCACGTAGTCATCCGAGAAGGACACGATGGCCTCCACGCGGTGGCGCATCTGTAGGTCGCACAGGTGGTGCAGGATGTAGCAGATCTGCAGCTTCACCCCCTCGGCCACCTGCATGTCTATCAGCCCCAGGGCGCCGCCATTGCCTGCAGTGGGCCACCAACAGACAGAGGGAGTGAGTGTTCAGCGTGAAGCATACTAGCACGAGGAAGCTTAAAAAGACACTTAAGTCCCCTAAAACAATCTTTCTTCGAGTAAGTAGATAAGACACTTGCGCCATAAAATAAACTTTCTCCGAAAAATGGGAGTATTTGCGCTGTGCAACTAAATTTGAGGAATTCGAGAAGTGCTTCTTCTATTTCGGGGTGAACGACTCGAAATAAAAGCATGTTTCGGAATTAATCACTTCTGCCTCAAAACATGCCTTGCGACCGAAATATTAGGATATTTTTTTTCATAGAATGTTTATTTGGCGTCTGAATTAAAAAAAAATGCAGACGTCCGTCTGAACTTTATAAAAACTTTAGAGGGTCTGTTATTTGCGCCACAAGACTCAATTGGCACCAAACACGTAAGCGCGTCATGTGACACTACGACGCGACACAGTGACGGTATGTGACATTGTGTCACATAACACAGCGTCACGTGAGGTGACGTCATGAGTCGCGTTTCAGATCAAATTCTGAATGGTGTTTTCGTAAAGTTTGGTGACGCTCTTAACCTAAAACAGCCCATTAATTGTTCGGCTTTAAAACTTCCATCTAACTGTCTTGACGGGACATATATGTGCTATATCTTAATTTCACCATAAATCTTTTGAAACATCTACGCCGCGAAATAAATTTTTAAGCGTGGAGCGACTCCGTCTGCTGCTGCGCGTCGACGCGAGGTTTACTTATATCTAAAGGCCGAAGTCGCAGTGACGTCAAACACAAGATTAAGAGATGTAAAATATCCTGCGCATGTCTTAGCATCTTTGACAATTTGTAGATTTTATACAATTTATGATGTGTATTGTTTACTGACGTTTTAGCTACTTTATTCCTATATCAGGGATAATTCGCTTACTTTCTGGTGAATCTTTGGCTTCTTTGAAAGATTACGACACAACACATTAGTTTACTTAAAGAAACTTTTATGACGTATCAAGATATTTTCAATATAATTTGAAAGTAATATGCAGCTTTAAGCTTTCTCATGTTGTTTTTTTTTTATCAGGCTGGGAATGCGCATTTTTCACTTACTGAGCTCGAAAAATATTGTTGTTTCATCATAGTCTCTGGATATCGTGTTTAAAAAAAAGCACATAAAATTACGGAACTGTGTATTTGTTTATTGGTGGCAAAATAAGTAGAGCATCTGTATGGGTCTCGATATTGTAGGTTATTTACCGAGACTAACACTGCGAATTCCGACAGCGCGGTATCACGTGATCGCTTACGTCAGCCAATGGGAGTGAGGCGCATTACACTGGGGAAAGCCCAGGTGCTGCAGTGACAATATCATGTTCTCTCAGTCGTAACACACTTTTTTGTCATGCTTGAGAAATTTGAAGCAAGTTACCGACCCCAGAAACCTTATCTACCTTAAAGCACGGCATATAAAAAAACAAATCTAAACAATGTTTATTTTATGACTAATGTAAAAGTAAAATTCTGCCTAGTTTATTTATCTTTTTGATTAATCTGCTTCCACGGGTGTCTTGTAGCAGTATTTTCACTTTTTAATTTTACTGAACATGATCAACGCTGGTGTCTCGACTAACCAAAATACCATCTTTATTTTTTAAAGAAGACGTATTTCTATCATAAAATAAGAGTTGACAACAAATCATATACAATGTTCTGCAACCTTAGTGATAGGTTTTTGAGAGCCTTATATGGGGTATAATTCGGCTAAATATAACAGCCGATAATGCAGGGATAAAGAGGGACAAAGAGATGAAAGGAAAAACATTCTCGCACACTTTACTCCGCGTGTACGACCTTAGGCTTGGAACACTCACATATCATAAACAAATACTTACGGATTCCGTAAGGTAAAACACAGCGACAGCTGAGGTTTGAGGCCGGAGCCGATAGGGTGTTATTTCGGATCAGGTGGACTTAATGAACGGTAAAGGTGCGACCGCGCACCATAAAATCCGCATAGACGTTTCGTATCAATCCGTGAAACACAGCAGATGGAAATTTCATAGCGTTTTGATAAAAATTAGGGTGTATTAAATAGAGACGCTTTAGTGAATCTGTTAAACAATATTATTGGACACAAACTAGGACTGCCTTGTGGTAATTGAAGAACACCTTGAAAATTGCACGCCCAAGTTTGAAATCGAGAAAATGACGAAACTGCATGTGTATGCATGAACCGTTCCCTGTCATTGGTGAGGCTGCTTGAAAGTCTTATACAACGTTATTGTACACAAACTAACATTGCCTTGTGGTCACTGAATAACACTTCCCAAATCGCGTACTCAAGTTTCAAGTGTTGTAACTCCACCTAATTTGACGCTCGTGATTTCGTTGGCTCAAAACATCCCCTAGCTTTATTGATTTTATCGTCCGAGAACCTTACTGGCTTAACTAGCAAAAACGCTTTGTTTTTATTGTTTCCATGATCAGCTGTTTCATGTTTATATTTCTACTTGCCGTCATGGTGTTACGTGACGACGTATTGTCACGTGACATCTGAATGTCACGTGACGTCACCGTGTCACGTGACGTCATGACATCACGTGACTCAGGGTGTCACCTGTCGTCATTAGGTCGCGTGGCATGACTGTGGAACGCGACTTGACATTACAACGTCACGTCTTGGTGTCAGCTGACGCAAGGTAACAGGTGACGTGATGCACGGCGTGACGTCAGAGTCGTATCGAGCAGCATGACATCAGCCGCGTGACATGAACGTGACGTCAGCGGCGTGACGTCAACCTCGAATCTTTTGGCGGAGTGCCGAAAATGGCTCGAGGTGATATGGAGCGTGGCTGAAGGCGCGAACCACGCGAAGTGGCCTACTAACAGCTATCGCCGTAAAAAAAGTATGGAAAACGTTACCATGGTGCTTGTATTCTCATATAAAATGCACATAACTGAAGGGGCATAAAACCGGCGACATGTTGGCTTGCGGCTTACCATTTTCCTACTGTTTTACGTAGATTCACCCAGTTAACTAGGAACCACTCGACTGGTGCTGTCTCGGAGAAAACACGTTTTTATAAGAAGTCATCTGCGACAGTAATTATGAACTGTATCCTGCTGCCAAGTCCGGAACATTCATCGACGGAGTAAACGAACAATGTGCCATGGAACAAGTAACCTGGAACAAGATTTTCTACAAACGCCAACGAGCTGCACATCGCCTTTTGGGTGTGGAACCGGCGACATGTTGTCAGTTGGGCTCACGCTTTTCCTAGTGTTCACGCAGGTTGGTGACCCACTCTGTCGATCACATTTGAGTGACTTTTGCCGGTTCCACTCCAGAAACTGAATAACTTGATATATACGAGCGTGTTCTCAAAATCTTGCACGCATGAAGAGGCTTTTTTTCTTGATGCGCCAGGTGGCTTTCTATATACCGCCTTTGCTGCTCAGTGGCGATGTCGACCTGAATTATGGGCCTTTTTAGGAACAACAGGTTCAAAAAATTTGAAATGGCCAAAGGAGCTTGATGGATAACCTTACCTCGTTAGAAGACAGCAAAAAGTCATTTGGTCCCTGTCTTAACTACTTGCGCACATAAGTGCATTCAATTTAGTCGAATTTGAGTAGACTGGAGCCGATGTGCGCGATTGTTAACGAGTTGAAAAACAAACGGCAGGAATAGAAATTACCTGGTCGTTCCTTCCGTGAGGCTTGATGACTAATGCTATAATCGGCTGGTGAATTTCCAGCCCCTTGGAGCACTCTGAAAAGCCGTTGCCCATTCGACTGGTCGAAGCCGGGAACTCTAAGTGTTTTCAACTAGTTCTTTTAGAGCGCTCTCAAATTTTCGGATCGCGTTGTCCTCTGGCTTGCAGCGCTGTGAGGAGCCCTGACTTTAAAGTGGGATTGGGGGAATATTAATTCAATGCTCAGAGCCAGTGTTAAACCTCAAAAGCAAAAAAAAAGAAAAAAAGATAAAAACCCACTGCCATCCGCACTTTTTTTTTTGTTTTGTTATCTTGCGAAATTCGAGTCGGTTTCAACGCACCGGCGTTCCGGTAGTTGGGGTCGAAAGTTTCGGGGTCGAGCAGATAGAGCAGCCACTGCAAGTCCTCGTCGTCGAGCAGACCCACCAGCAGAAGCTTGTCTGCGAGCTTCAGCAGGGGCCTGCACATCGGTCACATAACCATGTGTGAGCACTTTGGTTCAGGAATCATTAATTAATAATTTTGTTAATATAGAAATATTTACACTGCCCAAATATGAGGGGTTAGACCTCCATTTCAACATTTTACCGATTTTCACAACCGGTGCCCTCACTACAGTTTCGTTTAATTTTACGATGTGTACAGTCATTAACGATTCAGGGAAAGTCCCCAAGGTAGAGCAGTTCTACGAAGGAATAAACCCCTCGCTAGCACATTTGGTAGAGCACTGAGTTGTGGAGATGGCCGGGATCTAAGCCCCGAATCAAGCGGGTATTGTCAGCTGCACACCAGTCGCCAAGAGTGCGCAAGGTGCATTTCATTTTATGTGGAAGTCGAGGTTGTGCACGAGCTCGGAGCACCTTGAGCGAAAGCTCGCGCTGCAGGACCCATGGATCCTGGTTTCAATCCCTACCCCTGCCCATTTCGATCTGGGAGAGCATCGTACCAGCGTGCGGTCGTGTATCACTACTGCGCTAGGCTAGCGGTTGTACCGTACTTGCTAAATTGCACATCTACAGCTGAGACACCAGACGCCCACTAAGGAAGCCTAACCTCCGGCTGCATAAACATACACACAACAATTTGCTTGCTTGAGGCTGTGCCTGGTTCATGATGTAGACAAGTTCCAATTATTCGTTATACTGCATATTTCTTTTTGCCTAGAAGCTTTTTGCCCGTAGCAACGCAATTACTATCCTCAACAGCTTCCATATTCCTCGCTACGGCTGCCCCAGTTTACGCCGAAGCCAACGAACAAAGTATAAAAGTAACAGGTTAGCCTAACCTTAAGTAACGTCTGCAGCTGGACTGCTCGTGTAGCGCAGCTCCGAGTGTTCACAGAGCGACGCCCCTTGGTATAACCAGACACGAAGGTCCCTTCCTTCAACTGCTGCGCGCGCATCACTGTGCTGCCCTCGCTTTTTACGCTACATAAAGAGTCTCGGAACTTTTTGCTCACACCTCGTATTGTAATAAGGCTGCTGGAATTAGAATCAAACACCCTGTACACGCACAGTGGTTGTTCGCTCGTGGCAGTTCATTGCCATTCCATGCACTTAGAGAAGAGATTTCTAAAATCTTAACACGCTGAGGGAGACCGGGGAGCACAGAATATGTTCAACGCCAACCACATATGACATGTGGGGTTTGTACTAGGTCTGCCCCGCTCAGATCAGTCTTACTGACATACCACGCACACCAAGTGTGTTTTGCGCCCCTCTCTGGAACGTTACCCCTAAGCAAGACACAATGCCATCTGTGTTCCCACTGCCTTTGCCACGATAGTGAGGGAAACGGACAGACGTTTAGACACAAATGAAAACGGCGCCCCACTTATAAGAAGGAAAGAGAGAGAAAGAATAAACATATTTCATGGATCTAGTCCATCATCAGATAATTCATCGAGTCCATCAGCATCTAATGTATCTAAGGAGAGTGACACGAAATAAATAGTATTGCAGCATTCTTGCTCTAGCAAGAATGCTGCGATACCCCACAATACAACCCACAATACGAGCATGATTAATCGTGGTGTATTGGAAAGAACAGATGGGCTGTCCTTCGTTTGGTGCTCGGATAGCACATCTTCCGAACATAGGCCTTCAGTTACAATGAGATTGCGATTTTCAATATTGCATTCTTCGAGGAGATTTAGGAATGTTGTATAATATTATGTACCTAAACTCTGAGACTGCCAGAAGTTGAAGTCGTTCGAACATTGCTGGCTGACGATACTTGCGGAAAGTGGGGAAGAAATATAGCGTATTGACTTGACCACAAGAACACGTGACTGTGGCCTCAATATACTTTTCCCAAGAAGAGTTCTGCTTATGCGTGGCTCCCGACGGCCAGTGGCGAACGCTCGGATTACGCCCGGTTGATCGGCGGAAGCGGAAGAAAGCAACCAGTTATCGAGCATCGTCGTCGTGTCGACCGGGGTCCGGCGAACACCACCTAGACCTACTTTTCGATAGCGTCTGCTGTGACTGTTCTATTTTATTTTTGATCGGTAATTTTGGCGCCAAAACATAAACACCGCCTGGACCTACTTTTCGATAGCGTCTGCTGAGACTGTTCTATTTTATCTTTGATCGGTCATTTTGGTGCCAAAACATAAACGGTGGAAGGGGTTTTAGGGATGCCAACCCCCGTCTCCCAAGCGGACGCGCCGTGAATTAACACCGAAGTTAGGATGCGCCAGGGTCGGGATGCGCTACATGAAATCACCGGTGAGATATGGTTGTTTAAAAGCAATATTAATAGAGCCACCAAACCTTGTAAACTAAAACGTTTTATGAAGACATCACGCTCCTGCGATTCTGTACTAATCTCCATTAAAAGTTTCTGAGAGAAGAGCTTTTCCCGTTTGTTTTTCCGCCGAAACATGTTTTGTAAACGCTCATAGTGACCGCAGTGAAAAAGACGTTTTAGCCGCCATTTTGGCGTCATCGAGCCTGGCAGTTTCGGTACTCTGGAAACGTTCAGTGATTTAATGAACAAAATGTAAGGGCGCAAACGAGCTGGTGTACATCGCACATGGTTGAAAAAAAACCCGAGACTGCGGGTAAACGACACAACACTAAAAAGTATCTACAAGAGACTTTTTAGTGTTGTGTCGTTAACCCCAGTGACTTAAGTTGTCACAAACAGGAATGGCATGACAGCTGGTAAAGCAGGTCCCTTAAACCACCTCTAGTTCGTACATACGCCACCAGGTGGCGTCTTCGTGCGAAAAAGGTCCATTATCGTTTTCTTGCCCTTTGCTATAACCTGTCACTAACTTAGCATACTTAAATTTTAGTTCCATCCTTAGATATAATTAAACGTGATAGTGTGTTCGTCCGTATTTTTTGTTCTGTAAGGAAAAACGCGGGCTTTTAAAACAAAACAAAAATCTACAAAAGGTAAATTTCTAGAAAACCACCCTTTCGGTTTTAATTTGTAAGATGAGCTCGCCGGTAGGGTGCAAAGTAAGGAATAATTTAGAGTAGAAGGTGCCTTCTACGTTTAATAATTTCCTAAATGTTAACACCTTCTTTTGGTTTTAAAACCTACCCTTGTCTAAATGTTTATAAGTACTTAATTCACACACAAAAAAACTGTTCTTACCATCTCGCCAATAAGTTCCCTAACTCGGCGCTCGCGCTGCGCGAAAACGCCACTATGGAGTAAATCTGTTATGACTTTGTAGGTGTGGTTGTTTGCTCCAGTCTTGTACGAAGAGCAAGGCTCCCAAAATGCGTCTTTAGCGCATCGTGACATAGAAAATCCGCGTGGAATCCGCGATGACTGGGCAATTGAGCGGGCGCCGCCACTGGTTCAAGTCGGGGGGAAACATAAGCAGGTGGACGCATTTAGAGGGTAAACAAACGCACGATATGCGAAAGAGAGCAGACCAACTGGCGCACCGCATAAGAACATCAACTACAAACAAGCTTTTTATCTGTCCTAATGTGTCGTTATGAAGGCGCTTGCCCTCAGTGATATAAGTGGGATAATTTTTCACCTAGTTTACGCCGATGAAATTGACCTCAATTAGATCGCATAAATTTGATAAGAACTCTAAAGCGGGAGGAAAAAGAGAAACGCTCGTTTTCCCCTCGACTCACACAAACAAGTTCTCGTTGCTTCCGCCAATGGGGTCTCTGTTCGGGCGGCTGTCCTTCTTGACGGCGTCGGCCAGCGCTTCGATAACAAACTGTTTCAGGGCGTCCACTGGGAAGTAGGGAGTGCTCAGGTCTGCGATGGAGTCCACTTGCTCTCTATGAAAGAAGACAACATATATAATTTCACAAAGCGGAATCTGGCCTAATTGCAGCTAAATATTTGTGCAACAGCAGGGTGGACAACAAAAATCAAGATGATCGATTAAAATCGCGATTTAAATCAGACCAGTTCTAATGTGACGCTTTAGACAAAACTTTCCAGCAAAAATTATTCTGCACGAAGTTTTTTTATTTGCCGTTTGTCTATAATTTGATGCTTTCTGTGTGCATTTGCTTTTTACTTAAATACAAAAAATCATCGAGCAAGAAATATTTATATCACGATCAACAAGAGCAAAAACATTGCTCTTCTGAACAAATCTGACCATAGGGCTTTTTTTACATTCCGCTTTGTACTTCGTTAGTCAGTTACGTAACGTCCTGTTGCAAGCAAATCGGAACGTGAAAGAGAGAAACAATAAATACAAAAATAAATGTCGTAGTAAACAAAACAAAGCGCGAAAATATCAAGCTATTTCGTTCTAGTATGGCTGGGGTTATATGAATAAAAAAGCAGTTAATTAAACTGTACTTTAAACGTGCAATAGTTTTTTCTCGATTGTTGTCAGTGATTCGGTAGATTGTTCAATCAACCTGCCGTGTTTAAAAATACATGTAGTAATAGATAGCCACTAATTTCTAGCTACAGGGATTTAAATCAAATAAATTTTATTTCAATCAATTAAATCTGGCTTAAATAAAACTACCTCATTTTATTTATTACATTTTTTCACTTTGTGAAGTAGAAATTCGTTACAAATTGCGTCTTTAACTTCCTGTCTGATTTTATGCTGAGCTCAATGAAAGCAAAGGCACAGCAGATGCCCGATACCTGTGCCCTAAAACCAGGCTGGCTAAGCAAAAAAAAAAAAACACAATTATCATAAAATTGTATTTGACCATCACCATATGCAGACCAAGCACTCACGTTCTAGAAAAAGGTCAAATTGTTGCATCATCCCTTTCACCACGAGCCTAGCCGAAGGCATTGCTGTGTTTACGAGCACACTTTGTGAGACATGATCTCACAAACTTTGATAAGATTTTTAAACCACTGAAAAAAATGACCGCCTCTCCACGTGGTGAATGGTGTGAATTGGGGCGAAGCTCTTGTGGTGCTGATGATACTGATATTATTGTTCATAGGCAGTGCTGAGTTCCGGGTTGCGTTTCGACTTCATTATTACTGCTTTATAGTCGGTGAAACGCAGAGCCAGTGGTTTTTCTAGCGGATCATCTTGGATCCGCTAGAAGCCGTGGGAACGCATCTCCACCGCTTAAGTAAACGGTCCATGTCAGAAAGAGAATGTGTGGTATGGAACGTGGTTATATGCGCATTTCAACATTTGACCGCAGCGCCCTGTTGTCTATAAACGTTGAGCCAATGCATGCAAAGTTTAATGCGATTTGTGGGAGCCGAGGGTGAAAGACGAGGCAGAGGGCACGTGACAGGCGGCCGGCGGAGAAGACACGTGCTGGCACGAGACAGTGTGTGCTGAGCGAGGCTGGAGCTAAGCTGGACAAGAACGACGGAGCCGGGGCTGCCTGGCCTGGCCCATCGAACCCTGGAGCGGTCCACCAGCGAGGTCTGGAGCAAGACCGGTGGAAACGGCAAGCCCGGGCCATATGACCTGGGCTATGACGATTCCGGGGTGGTTCCGCAGCGAGACTCGGGCATTGATAGCCCGGGACAGCCAGCCTACGCAGCGCTGGCGTCGGAAAGGCGATCCCCAGGCCTGGACACGGACTCCGACTGTGAGCTCTGATCGACGGGCGACAACAAGGGTCGGCGTGCCTGGACTTCCGGCTCTCGACGACGGGCCCGGACTACCGGCTCTCGACGGCGGGCAATCGAGAGGAACAGTAAACCCATTCGCTGTCTTCTCGTTGCTGTATGTCACTCCCTGGGTGACGGGCGGAGCGCATACCGATCAGGCGGCGATTATTAGTAGAGGGATCTCCGAAAAGAAACCCACAGATTATATACGCATTTGACCGCAGCGCCCTCTCCTGTATAGACGTTGAGCGGCTACATGCAACGTTTCATCCATGACGTCCCCAGCTCTTGAGTTACTACCACGTCTCAGAGCCTCCTACTCGTCCCGCAGTCGTGGCCGGGTGGTTCAGGCGATGGACTTGAAATCCATTGGGGTCTCCCCGCACAGGTTCGAATCCTGTCGACTGCGCAAACATTTTTTCTTTTTGTGTGAGCACGGACGGACGGACGGACGGACAAGGCTAGACCCTAAGTAGCTTCGCCACTCGCCCTCACCTGCTTTTTAAAGCTGAAAAAATATGAAAGCTAAAAAGTATTAAAAGTTACCTGTAGTACTTAAAAACTTCATGTCAGTGGTCGAATTTAAAAGGGTCACACTGGCAAAACAAAAAGTGTCGGTTTCGATGCAGCAAGCAAGTTGGCAAACTTTAAGTAGTGCCACCACAATTTAAGACAGTGATGTTGAAAATTCTGTCCCGAATATTGCTTCAACATGCTGAGAGATCTAATTATCTCGTCTTTGTTTCGTCACTGACCGGACCCTCTAACATCAGCTACTGGCGACCATGTCATACTTTTCGCGCATACTCTCACCTCACCCTTTTAGAAAAAGGAAATAATCAAACCAGGCCTACGAGAAAACTAGAAAGTACTTGTAAAGGATCGCAGACATTGGTTTCCTTACAGATGTCTACAAAATTTTTTTCCAAAAGAACAATTAGTACGTTTTGTTCGCCACACGTTGAGCTAAAATTTAGATTACTACCTTACTCTTAAACGTAACTGCCCATTCTCAAAGCGAAGGTAAAATGCTAATTTCTTGGGTAGGGTGCCTCTTCGACAATTCAAAATTTTCACAAGTAGATCTAGCTCACCACACGTGCAAGAAATGATCATGCAAAGTACGCTTAAATCGCGTCTTTTGCCCCCTGACAATAAATTACGCATCGTTAGAAGCCCGAAATCCGGCAGAATGTCATCATCATACTCTCTTATTAAACCTTGAAGGCCCTTACGGGCATTACACAGGAAAGGGGGGGGGGGGCAGTAAAGGCTGGGGAGAATTGCTATACAAAGCAAAAATCAGAAAAATAAACACATAAGCACCCTTAGGAAACAAAACAACGGATTAAGAATAACAAAATACACAAATAAAAGATTGCTACAAACACAAATCGAATTTGCTATTAGCGCACCTGCAAATACGTGGTTAGTTTGGATATGAATCTGTTATGACCTGTCTGGGTCACAATACTGTTAGGCAGGCTATTCCAGCCTGTTATTGTTAATGGCACGGTAGATTTCTGAAGTAAGACTGATGAAGCGAAAATTGGAAGGACTTTAGAAATGTTAATAATGCGAGGAAATGTGCTAGTCGGTTGGAAGAACAATAGAGTTCTGACGTCATACTTATGATAGTACACCTTGTGAAAAAAAAAGACAGGTGTGATAATGTTCTTCTAGACGAGAGAAAATCAAGTTTAGATTTCATTCGTAACGAAGTGATGCCGGTGTATCGTGAATAATCCGAAAATATGAATCTGGTGCGCGATTTTGAAGTGTCTCTATGTTATCGATGAATGTTGCCAAGGGAACTAGATGAATGACGGATATTCAATTTGTGATATTACGAGTGCAGAGTACGCTAGTTGTTTTACTGATGATGGTGCAAGTTTTAGATTCCATTGAAGATAGCCAATATAGCGGTTATAGTTAGACAGGATGTGTGTTATATGCGTGTTTCATGAGAGGTCATCGGATAAGTGAACGTTGAGATACTTGTAAGATAGACTCTCCGTAATTACCTGGCTGCCAGTTGTGTAAGTAAAAGAGAGAGGACTATGAGCAGGCGTGAAGGAAACAAGTTGCGTTTTAGATGAGTTTATTGTAATTTTTCACTTTTGACACCAGTCGGCTGTTAGGTTAAGGTCTGTCTGTAGGTTGTGTAATCATCCAGGTTCCATACAGATCGGTGAACTACGCAATCGTCAGAAAAGAGTCGAATACAGGATGGTATTTGATCAGAGAGGTCATTTACAAATATTAAAAAAAGCAACGGGACAAGAACACAGCCTTGTGGGACTCTGGATGACACAGGAGAATAAGATGATGAGTAGTCGTTAATTACAGTATGTGAGTACGATTGGTTAGAAATAGCCCGATCCATGAGGTCAGGGATGGATGAATGTGAAGTTGATTATATTTAACATGATAAAACGATGAGATACCTTATGGAATGCTTTCAAAAAATCAATGAATACGGCGTCAGTCTGTACGTTATTATTGATGTTGCTTTGTATTTTATGAACAAGTTGAACTAGTTGTGTTTCGAAAGAGAATTATTTTCTGAATCCGTGCTGGCTTGAAAAAAGGACGTGGTTATGTTCAAGATGTTTCGTGACATTTGATAATATTATATGCTGAAAAAAAAGAAAAGCCTGCATGGTACACTGGCTAGAGAGATAGGACGATGGTGTTATGGTGAAGTTCGATCGCTTGATTTGTGTACCGGAAACACTCTGCCAATTTTCCAGTCTGTAGGGGGTTTCCAGAAGACAAAAATTGCCGGAATACAATTAACAAAAACTGGCTATTGTGATTTAGTGGTTTTCAGTAATTGGGCGTTAATTTTGTCGTACCCAGAACTGCAAGCGTGCTGTAGCCTTCCTGCTGAGCTTATGATACTAGAGTAATGTATTTGAATGGCATCCATGGGGAGGGTAATCTAAGGTGCTAAGATAAGACATGCTACTATGGTCATCTGTCGTAAAGACTGAGGTAAAATAATTGTCAAGACTGTTAGCACTTTGTTCGTCCGACAAGGGCAACAGATCATATCACTCATTAGTTGCACAGGTCTTGAAGTCTTGGGATTAATTACCTCCCACAACTTCTTAGGCTTATTACGAAAAACGTTTACAAGTCAATGTTTAAAAATTTGAGTTCGCCTCTGTGATGGATTTCTTATACATAGATCGTGTTGAACTGTTCCCAGGTAAGACCGGTGGTCACTTGTTTAGCGCGGATAAACAGTATTTTTTTTTTGTTAAGTCGGTGGAGCGCTTTTATAAACCAAGGATTCCACTTGTCACATGTTATTCTAAATGTCGGGATGCAAGTGTCAGCAAGGTGTGTGAGTTTATTTCTGAAAAGAAACCAGTTTTCATGGACTGCTCTGCTTTCATATCCATTCTGAAAACTCTCAAAACATATTTCAAGCTCATTGTTAATGGCGCAGTAATTACCTTGAATATATATATAACCTTTAATCGTTTTAAGATATGATGATCTCTGCTAAGCTACAAATTCAATGTTGAAATAAATGGCGTCATGGTCACCAATAGATAGGTGATATGTTATGATTTTACAAATGTTGTGTCAATGGCGAGGCACAGATCAACAACATGACTTGTTCTAAGGGTTGACCTGGTATTTTGGGTAATAATTTGTGATATAGTATAGGTAAGACAGGTTCATATAAGTGACCCGGAATTGTGAGTTGAGGATGACAGAGTAACCCAAATTATATCAGGAGAATTGAAGTTGCCTAAGGTAATACATGATACGTTTGCGGATTGAATGAAGATGTGACTCTAACGGCCGGATAGAACACAAACATTTGAGAACAATGTGTTACCTGTATCAAAAAAAGAAGAAAAAGGCAACATTTTTTTAAGCAAATGCCCACCCAAGTTCAATATCGTCGAAGCAAAAAATACATTGTAGGTGCCCTCAGGATTTATTGAACGCAAACACTTGTCAGCAAAAGAGAACATTTTTTTTTTGCGACAACATTTTTACTGATATATAAATGCCATATACGTCCAGAATTTCAGTTCTTGCTTTTACGATATTAGGCTTTGTATTTTATATATGAATTCAGATAACGTCATGTTTTTAAATCTTCGCGTTTTATCCGAACGCTAGAGCTTCAATCTCATAAATTTTCAGTCGTCTAAGATGCGTATTTTATTTAAGCGGGCGGAAAAACACGGTTGTTGTTTTTTCAAAAACACCCAGTACTGTCTTATAAAATTGGCCCGGTAGTGGTCCCAAAGCTTCACCTCAAAATGCACTCTATAATAAATATAGAGGAAAATTAGCTTTATTTTTGCAAGTATTTTTGCCTCTTCAAAATGGCAGGACTCGCGACTTTGCTCTCACAGATTGCCGGCGAGGTTTAAATAAACACAAAAAAGCCGCAAATTATCACTTGCAAGCTCACTACCTATTCCTTTTTGTCGTTATTTTGAGAGAGAAGACTGGCGTCGTACATTGTATGAAGAAAAAAGTTGGCACGGATGAAACAGTTTTCACGCTTCGCTGCAGACCCGAACATGTCCAACCTTTCGTCAACTTTCGTTTTCAATATTGGGGACTAGTAGAGGCTTGTAAAACAAAATAATAAAAAAAAATGAAAATTGTATCAGTAAAACCTCGGTCAATATAAATAATTAAGCGACATTTTTTTTTTTTGGATGAGTGGTTATGACTGAGTTCAGCGTTGTAGCTGTTTTATACTTCGCATTAAACCTTTAGTTTGAGTTCAGACCCAGTACTACCAGTGTTTAGTTTCTTACTCTTTGACTTTGCTCTCTGTGCGATATTTACCCTTTTTCTGACAGTGAATTGGAGCACCCACATAGCCACCTTGATTTTACTCTTCTTGCTGGATCACCGACGTCGGCGCTTACAGTTTTCCTGCTCTTCACTCCCATCTCGAAACTTCCCTCTACACTTATACGCGATATGAAGGTGATCTGCAGAGACAAGCGGGCGATTGCCGGAAATCGTTCTTTTCATTTGCGAGGTGCCTTCGGGAGAATTGTGTGCCATGTGTTCTCACCTGGTCTCCGAGAAGGACATCTCCGGCCGTATGGAGATGCACTCCAGCGTGGTGAACGAGTGGGCCTTGAGGGGGTCCTGGTACAGTTCTCTTATGTCCGGGCCCAAGGGCACAATGAACTCGTTCTGGGTGAGGCTCCTGGGAAAGAGAATGGGGGAGTCACAAGGCACGCCTTATGGCAATAAAAACAAAACGCATTCGTGTTTTCTGCATTGTCTCGAATTGCGCTGTATCAGTCAGATAGCTAGCAGGTGGCTACCTCTCCAAGGAACACCAGCAACAGTGAACATTGATACAAACCATCAGTGACAAGCCACCCATGGCAAGAATGCTTCCACATAATGCAATATTTCTGGTTTTGAGTATATTAAAAGAAAAGGAGAAAAACAGCGCGCGAGGATAAAAACTGAAAAGAAACAAGAGAAACAAACACAAGCCCTTACTCGCAACTAAAGTATTGTACTAAAAGCAAGAAGAGGAAATTCGTCTAATACATAGTATCATAGATTACTGTTGCGAGCCAGTGCATGTGTGTTTCTGAAGGACTCAAGGACAATAATAATAATAAATGTGCTTGTATATGTCTCAGGCGTCATTTTAATTTTCGTCTTCGTGCACTGGTATTTTCAATATGTTCACTGTCTATTAGGTCACATTAACTGACCCAGGGTCGCTAAACTCGTCAAACACAAAGTTGGGGAAGAAGTTCGCGGAGCGTGCTGATGAAACCCTCGCGATGATGGCATTACGCGGGATGAGATGTCAATCATCCAGATTCACTCGGTGCTCAAATTCAAGCGAGATTGGGAAACATGAAGTCACAACGAGCTTGATCAGAGCGCGCGCGAGCAACACCGTGGGGCCAGCCGATTGAACGGCTGCATTGATGACGGCGCGCTCGCGTCTCCCTACATCCCTACATCCCTACGCTGTCTGGATTGCCCATAGGCGGGCTGTGAATACACTGAACTTTATCGTCGCAAGATCGTCGTTTGTAGAAGTTAGAATTGACGACAAAGTTACGTTTGAAAACTTTGGGAAGGAGTTATATGAGGCCAAAATCGTCGCTCCGGAATTGAGGCGAAGATTGAACTTTGTGATATTGCCGAGCCGCACGCGGAGTACGCGGTTTCGGAGCTCATCTTCCGCCGATGTCAACAGCGTTACTGGGGCCACTGAGAGGTGGTGTGGGTAGTGACGTCGGGAGTGTATGACAAACACATACACACACTCGAAATTCGGGGTCAAAAAGAGCCGAAGGAAATGTTCGGCAGGAAGGGGGGGGGGGGGGGAAGGGTTGTGAAGAAGGGGGGCCATCCCTTCTCCCGAATTTTTTACTGTACCTTTCTGAGGTTGAAGCTGAGTCTCATCTGAGGTTATCGCCTCTCCCCCTCCCCCTTTTACCCTTTTATGCCCCTTGCCTCCTCTTTCCACACCGCTTGAGAGGGCGGAGGAGGGGTGTGGGAAAATCGCTCTCCTCTCCGTCCCTCTGTTTCGACCCTAAAGGTGTTCCAACTGAGAGACGACGCAAAACAGAAAAGCGCGCAATTTTCGAAATTAAGTTTCTAGAGGTTCTGGAATATATACGGTTCGCGTGTTCGTTTTTCCTGCTAATTTTGAGCGACTTTTCAATCGACTACGTGCAAAGAAAAATTGTTTTCGGCGTTGTCGGTGGCACGTCGCGCCTGTGTTGGCTTTAAATTCAGTGTCGGCTTCTAAAGCTCCTTCAACGGAGCGGTGGTTTACCGAGAAAGCGGCGGTCGACGCTGAGCGGGAAACCGTCCCTACGGCCACCGGCATGCTGAGGGCGCCTGGCAGCTCAGACGAGGCTTGATGCAAACTCGAGCCTGAGATTATACATCATTTTTCTCGAGCGTCGCAAAGGCTGATCGCGTGAATCTCGATCTGTTTGGCAGCCTAACCTGCCAACCGTTTCCTGTTTGGAATACAAACTAATTGAAACTGCTGCAAAGCTTGGTTGCCAAAGTTCGCGCTTCATGCGATTAGCCCTCGCGCCTCTGGGGGAAATGAAATATAATCTCAGGCTCGAGCTGGCATAAAGTATTCTCAGAACTGGCAAAGGCTGACAGCATGCCGGCGGCCGATGTGACCGTTTGTCGCTCCGCGTCGAACGCCGCTCCGTGGAGACAGCTTTCCAAGCCCAGCTCGCGGAGGACCGGATAGAAAGTGGATCCAAAACTGTGCAGAAAGAAACTTCGTCTTCAAACAGAAAACAAACAAAAAGTTTCGCCAGGGTTAAAACCTCACATTTGTTCACGCCAAATGTTAAATCTAGACTTGATCTGAACATTTTTTTTTTACGGTAGATGTAGTGAACGAGATTGTAGGTTCAAAAAAGCCATCTTGATACCGGATAGAGATGCCGACTTGCCGAGCCATGGTACCAATCCACTTGTCTAAACGTGCCCGTAACGTCATGTAGGATCCGAGCCATTACGTCTGACGTGCGGGGAGAAAGCTCCCCTCACCTGGCGTAGGCGTGGAACTCGAGGTGCAGGGAAATGAGCAGGTCGGTGAAGCCCGTGCGCAGAGGCCCCGACAGGTACTCGGCCTGGATGGCGTACATGAGCTGCTTCTCGTCCACGTGGGAGCAGATCATGTGGGCCGCCCGGTGGTTGCCCTGGAAGCACAGCGCCCCGTACAGGGACAGCGTGTGCGCGTGGAAGCTGTGCAAAAGGGGAACATGCCCCAAGGGGGTAAGAAAGGGACGCCAAGGTGAAGCACGCGGTGGGCTAGGACAGGACGACGACTGGAACATGCTGTGGTACGAGGGGTGGAGTGCGACGCAGAGCGGGACCTGGGCTCGGATATGAAGTGGAGTGGGACCTGGTGCAGACTGGGACTTTGAGTGAAACGCGGTATGAACTGTGATGTGGACTGGGACATGAAGAGGGAAGAATGGGAGGTGAATTGGCCTGGGCCATGCCGTGGGGCAGGGAGCAGAGTGACGGGTAAAGTGGGACGTGAAGTGTGGAAAGTGGAGCGGGACATAGACTGGGACAAGAAAGGGACTGGGACATACAGTGGGACATGCAGGAAACTGGGTCATGGAGTTTGGTGAGACGTACACAACCGACAAGGCATGAGAAATAACCGAAGTCGTCGGTTAAATTTATTTATTTATTTAGTTATATGAAAATGCTGTTAGCCCTCTCTTAAGGGCCATAATAAAGAAAATATCATCCCCGGTAACAACATAAAATACGCCAACGTAAAACATGAAAGTTTCAGAAAGATCGACTCTTTTTTTAGAACAAGCAATGAGAACGAGGCGGAACGCTAGCATTCTAATCATATAAAACATATAAAAACCTAAACAATCATTACAAAATAAAGTTTAAAAACACGTCGTTCTGATCCAATATCGGTCCAATGCTCAAAGGAGGACAGTTTCTGAATTCACAATAACGCCGGGAAATAAAGATCAAGCCTCAATCATTCTCACACACAAAAAAATATATTAAAGGGATTTATTTGTCAACTGCAAGTTGACAAACTGTATGTCCGAGAGAACAAAGCTTTTGATATATCGATGCTGAGATTGTGTCGATGTGTTTGGTCCAGGTTAAGTCTCTCGAAACAGAGACACGGAGGTACTTGGAGTACTCTACATTGCTCAATTCTGCATCTTCAATGCGGTATTTTAATATAATTATGCTTCGTTTTTGATTATATGGCAGTGTGAGGAATTGCTGTAGCTTATTTTATATCAGAATTGTAGCACCATTCCCTTATATGGCCCAGATATTTATTGCATGAAATATGAATGGAATTGAGTTAATAACTGAATAAATAATGCCATCATCTGCGAACAGCTTGATTTGAATATCTGGTGGAGTCCCGTATACTATATTATTTATATACATCAAAAACAGCAATGGCCCTAAAACAAAACCCTGGGGTACACCCGAATAAAGGGCGTCGGAAACGTTACCGTTAATTTCAACGCGTTGACTGCGATTAGTCAGGTCTATCCACTTGGTAATCATTGGGTGAATTCCGAAAGTTGTGAGTTTCATCATACGTTTCCTGTGTGGCACCTAATTGAAAGCTTTAGAAAAGTCTATAGAAATAACATTAACTTGTTGTCTGTCATTAAGCGTGGACGGTATGCCACGGGCTACTTCAACTAGCTGTGATATTTTTGATATTCCAGACCGGAACCCATGATGTTTGGGATAAAACAACTTGTTGGATTCAAAGTGATAAAATACGTGGCTTGCTATTATATTTTCCATGATTTTACATGCTACAGATGTTATAGAAATTGGTCTGTAATTGCCTATGGACGGTTTATCACCCGTTATAAAAATTGGGACAGCGCGTGCCCACCGCCAATCTGAGCGATGCTGCGATGACCGCAATGAACTTACAGACAATGAGCGTAAATAAAACAATGTCCACTCGGCGTGCCTTTTAAAAAAAATTAGGTATCTTATCTGGGTCACATGCTTCGACAGAATATCGTCTTTTGTTATGAATAACTCGATCATTGGGGGGGGGGGGGGGGGGCATGGTATCATTCCCTCGGTTTATTTCGGAACTTGCTTCCGTATGACTGCTGTTCTGCGCGTTCTGCTGGCAATTTTTCGGTCCTATTTTACAGATCATTACGTGATGTCTCGCGCTTGAATACTGACTGAAAACAAAAAGAGTTTGTAACTATCTGCTAGAATGCTGGTGTCTGTTACTACTCTTCCATTCAAGGTGATTTGCTCAATACTCTCTTCCATTTGGGTTCAAATCTCGACAGAATTGTTTAGGGTTGTTTCTGCGGAGGTCGTCAAGTGTTCCTGAAGAGTTCGCTTAGACATTTTCACCGTCTGTTTAACGTGATGACCTAGTTATCGCATAGTAACATTTGAACCGCTATTTTTCTACTGCTTTTTCAATCTTCGTTTAATGTGGTTTATATTTCTTGTCATAAAAGATAATTTCTCTTTGGTTTTTTCGTTCTGCATGGTATGTATTTATTGATGCAGTAGGAAACTGTCTCCTGGAAGTTATTCTATGCACGCGGTACATCACCATTGCTACACAATATTTCGAACGAATTAAAATAATTTTGAAATGATCAATATTGCTTGTGTCATCGGCACTTTCAAAATCTTTGTAAGTGAACTTGCGTGGCACAGAAGCCTCAACCTTTTTACTACAATCTACAATACAACGAAACCATCTAAAGATCAGGTATTCTGTCAACCGTAGACAACTTGTACTCAGTAATATTATCACTTAAAAAAAAGTAAGACCAGCACAGAATGAGTACTATCAGTTACCCTAGTGAAGTCTTGAACTCTTTGGCTAATGTTGTGGCTGAACGTGACCACTAGCATTTTATCGCCATTTATTTTGTCTGCACTTCTGGTTTGCAAGAGTTCCCAATCGACCAAATGCAAATCAAAATAGCCTGGCAAAATTTATCTTGTTTTAGCATTCACATATTTATGCACAATGACATCAAGCTCTTCTCGAAAACTAACGGGGTTGTTCGGAGCATGATATGCCACGACAACAAGAAAAGATAAAACATGATGTATTTTACAACACAGTATCTCACTCAAACAATGCTCCAAGACAATAAAACGCAAATCAACCTTTGCACCAGTAGCGATGCCTCCTCCCCTGGAAACCAAATGCTTCCTTATTAGTTTGTAATTAAGTGGGATGACAGAGTTCTCGTTACATTCGATATAGGCCATGTTTCCTTATAATAACTATATGTGGTTCGTGATAGAGCAATATGCTTTCCAGGTCTGGAACTTTGTTTGATATACTTTGTGCGTTTAGGTTGATAAATCTTAGTTCGGCTAGCGCATGAACTTGTTTCTTGTGTCATTCACTCCTTTCACAGCGGTTTCTTACGGGAAAACGTTCGTCCTGCTTTAGGTCCTATTCATACATCTGGTTGTTGATATATAGTTTGTCGTGAACTAGAAATACGTCATCCCCGTCGGCCCTTTTGACCGAGGCACTGTTCGATAACGTTTTCAGTTTTTCTCTAGTTTCCTTCGCATAATCGCATCTGATACTGTTCGTCGTTCCTTTTAATGTTTTACAATTCTTTAGCGCAGTCAGTTTCTGATGATAATTAAAGAACTTCATTATGACAGGCCCGCATAATTCGTTTCGTTAGTACCCTAGTCTGTGGATGCTATCGGGAGACGTGACTTCACCGCCGACTTTAATCTCGAAGAATTATTTTATCACTTTCTGTTTTAAGTCATCATAACTTTACCTGCTTCTGGTAGCCCGTATACTCTCAAGTTTTTCCTGTGGCTTTGATTTTAGAAGTCGACCAGTCGATACTTTTGGTATTCTATCATTTCCTCTAGATCTTTAATCTTCTTGTTAATTTATTTCCTGTTTTCATTGAAGGTTCCCAATGTTTTCATCGTGTTTTCAAGGCCGTTGGTTTTGTTGTTCATCTCCTTTATGCTGCCTTCACGGCGTGACTCATTAACTTTCACGTTCTCTTCATTTGTTCTGATTTCCTTAATGTCCTCGGCAACGCCAATCTGATTAGCCAAAATAGCCATTGCGGGTATAATGGGTGTACGAGAACCTCCCTATTCTACTAATGACCTCACATATCTCAAAGTATTGCACCGCGGTAGGTCAATGCCAACAAGACCCATTAAAAATACCGAATGATATCAGTCTAGCGGAAAATGCGATCTTATGTTTCAGAAAAAAAAAGCAACAAAAATACTAACATTATATTTATCTGTTTTTATCTAGAGATGCGATTGATGATCGATAGTTACGATTCGAGAATTCCACTTCCTGAGCTTTAGATATGGTTTCCCAAAGCTCGTGCACTATCGTTCTACGGGCTGTTTTAGCATTTCTGCAGGACTGAAAAGCGTTTTCTGCAATCCCGGATAAAGCTGTGGACGACACGTAACAAGGATTTTAAGTACTGTGATATCTCGTTAATATAAACAACTCAGTTCTCCTAGAAAAAAACGTCCATAACATGAGTTGTCCATAATAATGAGAGAAAAAAAAAAGAACATGTATTTGCCTGCCGTGTCTATAGATGTTGTCAATATATAGCGGGGTGTCAATATCAACGAGGCGTGACTGTAACAAGACGACAGAACGTCGTGAATTTGAGGCGCATTTCAATCATTGCTGAAGGTGGGGCTCACTTGAGTAGGCGCTCGTGCTCGATGAGTTCGAGGATGTCTATGCAGCGGTCCTCTTCGGGGATGTGGAGGGCCAGCATGGACACGGGGTCCTCGCAGAGCATGCTCCAGCCACGCACCTCGGAGAGCCGCAGGGCGTGCGGCCGCAGCGACACGTTGGGCACGCGGGCCCACACGTACGGTTGCACGCACTGCACCTGGGGAGCGCAGGAGCACACTTTGGGTACACACACGTTGGACGGCGATAGCTCTTACCGACTCACAGGAGGTACCCGTGCGCGCTTTCTGTAAAACCGTCGAGGCACGCGGTGTCGCAGTCACGTGACGTGACAATGTCGTTGACATCGTGGTGTCACTTGAAATTTAGCAGATAACATTTCCTGTTTAATATAATAAAGTCATTTTCCCGATACATTTTACGCGAAAATGCTTTGTGTACCAAGACGATAAATCTAGCGGAAAATATTCGCCTTCAAATCTAGCAAAATATACCTGTGACTGTCTTATGCCCGTGGGCAGCTTAAGTGTGTTGCGCCTCGGCTGTCGCCGTATTCGGTACAGGGCAATAAAAGGATGCTTTATTGTGCGTGTTACATACCCAATGAATTGGAGCATGCTGATAATGTTACCAGGATAAACAAAAAGAAGCGAAAAGGACCAAGACAGAATGACGTATCTGTGTCATCCTGGGGCCCTGTTTCTACAAGGCGGGACCGAGCGCGAGAGGAAGTTCGAGACACCGCCGTTGTCTGCGATTCGTCAGCGTCGTCACGCCGCTGACCAATCACAGAGGGCAAGGATGTCCCGGGCTCCCTGCCCCGCTTGGTAGCCGTGCAGCATAATGCCTATGCTCTCGGTTTTCTTGTACCTTTCTTTGCTTCTGTTAAGAGAATAATAATTGTAATCATGAAACTGTTTATTTCCATTTTGTGGAATGGTGGAACGGCCGGGAAAAAGCTTCAAAGCGAGGTTGTATCGAAAAAACAAAAAGAACGCGGCTTACCAAAGCAGGCAATCGCTCTTTTTTAGTTACACGCTGCGCTTATTTCGGGGAAAAAACTAGCGGGAGAACCTAAACACTGGTTCTTTGACACAGCTATATTCTTCTGTCCAAAGAAGACATAGCTTCTGACTGAAAAAGAACAATTGCTGTCTGTCATCGCGGATATAAATCTCATGTATTATATTCCGAATACGTTCACATTATTAACAAACCCAGTGACCCGTTTAAAAAAAAAGTAGAAGTTCGACGTATGACCTAAAAGCGGTTGAACAGAGCATGCTTGCTCATTTAGCGAGCGAGGGAAGATCGCATTAAATACACCAACGACTAAAATTCCTGTAGCCACAAGCCATTTTGTGAAACAACCTTTAGATATATAGACAAAATTACTTTCATTCAATTCATACAAAATGCGAAAGATGAGGGTCACTGTGTACAACAAGCGTGCAGCTTTATACTGACAAATTCAGTCACAAGCCCGCAACGACAACGACAACCGATTCCCTGTAAGGCCAGCTGAAAATAACACTGCTGCATTTCGAGCATCTCCGATTGATAGGCGAGCATCTTCAAAACCAAAGACGCCTTCAGAGACGTTTTTAGTTTTTGAAGTGAATCGGTAAGACACGCAAAACTAAATTTTGCCGACAAACGCAAATCCAAATATTTACGCCCTGAGACAATTTTTTAGACAAGAGCATTTCCGAAACTAACTTCATTAAGAGGGAGCGATTCTCAAAGCAACTTCTGCCTCGGGGTCCTTATATAAAAACCGAAGTTTGGGGGTGTTTTGCGGCGCAACTTTCGCTAAAATTGTTTTTCTTTTGATCAAGGTCACTTTTGTGATACTCAGTACTTCAGAAAATGAACAGTTTTAAGGGAGTTAGCGTGACTTCGTCAAATAGTCATAGCGCAACAAAATTAAATGGCTGTCGTCTGTACTGCAAGGCGCACAACAGCAGTTTGCTGCGTGGATGAGTCAAGGTTACGGTGGGTTGTGGTTTGGGACACTGTCATGCCACAGCGGGTGACTCAGCTACGCCTGAACTTTGTCAAAATTACGAAAACACTCTACAAGGGGTAGCGATCCTCGTGAAAACACTGAATGTAGTCCAGCGATCCCAGTGTGAGGATCCTTGCGCATCCTTTTGAACACCTCGGTATGACGCCTAGAGCACGTCTCACACTAGTGCGTTTACGGAGTCCTCAAATGTGGTCCCTAAATTTCCGCATAATGGCGTCACAAAAGTGCCCTGCTGTTGCCGACTGCAATCCTGGCGGAGTCAGAGCAGCGGATATGAATGCGGCAAATGCTTGGGGCCCTAAGCTGCCGGTCTTGGTTGTGACGTTGACATGGCGTTGTGACGTTGTGACGTTGACATGACGTCGAAACAACCGACCAGACAACAAGGGGGTCATCTTAGCCCAGTGTACAAATACCACTGCTGGCATTGCACTGAAACTTCGCTGCTTCCAACGGCTTGGTTTTTTGTTTGACAAAATTAGTGGGAGAATGCTCAGTGCGACCGAGATACTCTACATGTTTGGATTGAGAGAATGAATTACAGTTGACCTTAGCTCCCTCTAGAATTAAATCACCTGAACAGCTGCGCTCTAACCGGCGTTACAGGGAATTGTAAACGGCTTTCATTTTTTTTCCTCTGTTTTATCTTAGAATGCTGACATCATTTTTGGCCACTTAGGAACCACTTTGATGCATGGGCAGTATATGAGGTTAAACGCAAGAATGTAATTCCCGTTCATAACGTGCGACAGATGTGGGCCACCCTGTCCACGTATAGGTTGCCGGGCGTACCTTCAGCCTGGGTGGCAGCTGAGGGGTGAGATGTCTGCTGGTGTTGTGCAGCAGAGCCGCAGACAGGGGCAGAGTGGTAGGGGTGTGGCCCAGCTCGAACTGAAGCACCTCCTTGCTGGTCGCCTCGAAGAAGGCCGCAGGGTACAGCTTGGTGCCGGGCTCCATCTGCATTCAGGAAAGCAATACAAAAAGAAATAACAAAAACAATTGATACTATCGACACAAACACTTGGACTAGACTGTCCGCTATCCCGAAAGCAGCCATTCCACTTAATATACACACAAAAATATCCACAGGAAAGATATTTTTCTTATAGGAATACCATTACATAAACCGAACCATATATATTCTGCACAGCAGATGGAAACAAATTGAAATTACCAATAGTGACTATTAGAGAGAGAAAGCCGTTCAAGTCATTAGAAATGCATGGAATGAAAAAATATAAAATAAATATTAGTATCGCAGGAAATGACTCCTAATTAATGAAGGCGACCTATATGAAGGCGATGTTAGCAGTTCATCGCGTCGTAAAATGGTGTGATGAAAAATTTTATGAAATAAGCTAAGTCGTACATTTTTGCGTCGTGATGCTAGGGATGAAAGACCTATGTTATATTTCATAGAGGACACACTAACAGCCTATTGTCAGTTAAAGTATATATCAATATATATATCGATCTGAGCTATTTTGAATTAATTACAACTGATTTACGAAAATTTCCGACGCCAGGATCGAAAATTGATGAAGCATATTCCAGTTGTGAACGCAAAATTGTTTTGTAAAACAGTAATGTAAAGTAGGGGGCCAGTGAAAGTTACTTTTTACAAACCCTAACATACGGTTAGCTTTGTTAGTAATGAAATTGATGTGAATTTGTCAGCTAAGATTAGAAGTAATATGAACGCCTAAATACTTGTATGATTCGACGAATTCGAGCGGGCTACGATCAAGGTGATATGAAGGTAAGTTAGCGTGGCACCGAGAGATTCGCATGAATCTCTCGTTGGTGAACATTAAGCGTCGTGTGCCATGTTTTGTACGAAGAAGTGACATCGTTAATATCAAATTGCAGCGCATGCACATAATTGCTTGTGGATATTTCCTGGAAAAGAACACAATCATCTGCGAATAGATAAATAGAAGATGATACAGAGTTGGGAAGGTCCTTAATATAGACAAGAACAAGTAATGGCCCAAGGACACTGCCTTGGGGTACGCCAAAAATTACGAGGTGAAGACCTCGTAATTTTGTAGAGACGGCGTTGGAGATGGGGTATATAAAGCGTGTTCGAAATAAACTTTGCAGCTGAGTTTGAGACGTTGCCTCCTCTTTTACTACCTTCTGTTGTGTTCTCTTCCTGCCCCAGTCTCAGGTTTACAATCATGTTCAACTTACACCAGCTCGCCTGCACTCTGACTATTTTTTCGTGAAGACCAGAGCTGATGTCATTATCGGTGACAAATTGCTAACGGTAGGCGAGAAAGCGTTCAAGCCATTTTCGTATGTTACTTTCAATACCTACTATTTTAGGTTTCGTAGCAGGAGCTGGTAAAAAACCTCGTGGAAAGCTTTCGCAAAATCTTAATATATACAGTCAGCGAATGATCGATTATCGATTATAGTTTTCAACTTGTGGGTGAATAAAACCAATTGTGTCTTGCATGAAAATGATTTGTGAAAGATTTTTTGATCAAGGTGAAAACATTTAATTTGTTTTTAAACAGTTCGCAATACGGGAGAAGAGGACATGTTCGAGAATCTTGCATGGGATGCAAGTGATTGCGTCGTGCAATCATTTGCGCCTTTAGTTTAGGGTGGATGCTTACTGCAATGTTTGTGTACGAGAACCACCCTCCCCATCTTTAAGTTTTCTGAGAGCTCACCAGAATTGAGTAACTGCTTAAATTTGATAACGAAAGTGACAGAGGAATATGATTTGTTTTCTTTTAAGAACATCGGAGTAATATTGTCAACACCAGCGGAAGATTTTTGGCTTGACACAAAAAATCCCCCCCCCCCCCCCCCCCCCCAAATCAGTTTTTCTGCAGTAATTGCTGGATTGCTTCCCCCGAGAAAAACGAGCGGAAAGTGAAGGCAGTTTACAGTTTCCTTCCAAGGTATTGTCACAGATGAAAAGTAGAAAAACAAGAAATACTAAAAAAAAAAAAAAAAAATAAACGTGGCGAACGTGTATACTCTAATTGGCGGTCCGGCGTCAGTGTTGGCGTCAAAGCTAATTGGCGTGCTGGCGCAAGACTGACTCTGTGATGTGTAATGCGGCCGCATTTATACCTCCTCCACGTTCAGAAGTGTTTCATCCAAAACTCATGATAACTGTCGAGAAGGAAGTTTCCAAAGAGAAAATAAAACGGAAAAAGAAGATTGGCGTGATTTGAACTCTTGGCTTCTGCGCGAAAGCCGCGCGCGCTTCCTTATCGGTTACTCACGCGGCAACATGAAAATATTCATAGTGAGCTCGCTTGGTAATAGATATACGGCGCAGCCGAGAAAAAACATGCAGTGTCGGTGATGCCAAATACTGTAGGAAACAGAGAAAATAAGTCACCGTAGCGACTCCACTAGTGCCCCTGCAGTCAAAAGGATTGGACACAATCATATACCAGATATATATATATATATATAATATATAAGCAATAAATTGCAACAATAAACATATTAGCCCACAAAAAAATTCCATGAACTACAACGTACACTTATATTGAAACCTTATAAACCCCAGTAAAACGCTTAAACGCGAACTTACACCTTAAAACGACCTAAAAATGAAAGCTCGGAAGACTCAAAAAGTACTTTAAACATATTAAAGCACGGAAAAGTTTACATGATACATGATTTCACTTGAAGAAGTGTTATAATTGTTCAGTGCACATACTGCATTATATATTGGGCCTGACCGAAAGTGGGGTTCTGGAAATTATTCTTAAAGTACTCGCTGATGTTTACTCTTTTTGTTTTGTAAAATATCGGCACCGCCTAAAATATGTTAAATACGTGTTTAAGCGCAAATTTCAGCAAGCGATTATAGGTTACTTTGAAAGGCAAGAGTGTTTTTGAGTGTGGCCGTTTTTCACCATTTTTTACTCTAATTTCGGATAAATCGACAAAACTTTAAGGTCCCGCCTATTTCGTTAAAAAAGTGTTTGAGTGTACCAAAGCCATATTTCAGCCATACAGGAGGGTACGTTGCATTTGAGGACGCCGCAGTGAACAACTCACCTTGAAGCGGTGCCGGGTTATGTGGCCATCAGCGCTGAACGTGAGCATGCCAGTGGCGAGATCGATGTGACAACCTACATACATGCCCTGCAAAAAAGAGGAAAAAAACAAAAAAACATCGGTGGTGCCAATATTTACACTTGTCAACATACAAAACTCGTTTTTTTTAAAGACTGTTTTCAATTAGCAATAGTTGAACTATGTTCTAAATATTTTCTTAAGATAACCGAGACAGTCTCCACATCCGCATGATGCAAATTTGAACACTTATACTTTAATCATATGCTGTATCCAGTACTTCGCAGTGAATGGCCTTGCTGATGTTTGTAGGTCAGTGCGACCCAATGACACCGAGGAAAGATGAAAAAGGAAAGGTTTGCTACGTAGAAAGGCTCCCGGAAATGACTGACAACCAGAGTCTCTGTGACGCGCTCTTTACCTCAAAGCGGGCACTGAAGCACCGTGACAGGGGCTCGGGTAAGAAATACAGGGTCACCCCATACAACTTTTACATTCAACACCTTTATCGCAGGCATGGCATTGAAACTAAATGTCACGCAGTCACCCATAATTGCTGTAGCCATTGTCATCCTACTGTAATTCTCAGAATCAAGGAACATACTAAATAACCGCACATATAGTGAACCCAACATGGGTATGCATGATACAGTTCTGGATCTCAGCGACCCTGAGCTAGGCTTGTACTCTCTGTTAGGTTAGCTGTATCGGCGGACACTCGCTTCAACAAAAATACTTTGTAGAAACGCGACAGAAAAATACAAGCTTACACTCGACATTCAGTTTGCTTAGGGCGATGTCATGCTCACCTGACGCTGCTGTCAGGCGCGTAGCCAAAAGGGAAGGGGAGGGCGGGGGGGGGGGGCATAAAGCTCGGGCCCCGCCCCCCCCCCCCCCCCCGAAACCTTCCATTTTGCTTGAACCTCCTCTCCCCACTCCCCCCCTACAGCATTTTGTAGTGGACTTCCCCCCCCCCCCCCCCGCCCCCCCGAAACAAAATCCTGGCTACGTGCCTGGTTGATGTCATAATAATTATAGACATGTTCCCCACCCAGATATGACAAAGCGCGCAACCAGCAAATCTGGCGCACATTCCCTTCAAGTCTGCATGCACAGTGAATGCTCGGGACACGGTTATGGATGGAACCAACTGAACAATCATAAATATGTAGAAAGGTAAGGCAAGGAAACAATGTTTTTTTTTTTTTTAGCATTTCCTTTGCCTTTTTTTTTATATATTTATAAACGTTCTACTGATTCCAACCATGAGCATGCCCCAACTAGCTCAGCTCAATCCCTTCGGGACAAACACCGACGTACCTGGTTGGCAGATCGACTGCCGGCTTCACCATGGCTAATCTCTGTAGCTAGCTGACCGGCGCAGACCATGTAGCAGTTCTGCCGCTCCAGACTGCCAAACAAACGAGGGAGGAAAGATGGAATCGAAAAAAAAACACTCGCCAGTAAAACTTTCCTTACTAAAACAAACTCAGAAGTTTGGTAACACAATGGCGCAAATAGAACGAAAACATATTATTTTACAAGTAATTTCGATCAGAGCATGGGGTCACCGCTAATAAAAAAAAATATATGCAGTTTCCTTTCAAGTGTCAGAATATTAACAGAAGGGGGTTCACCGTTTATATCGTCAAGTTCTCTTCAGGACAACGATTGGTTGTAATTTTGGGCCACGACAAAACCTCAAAGCTTTCCACTTGAGCTTCGTACAAGAGAACGGGGTTCTGTTTTTTATTAACGTGAAAGCTATAATATAAGGAGGGACGGGGCAGCTAAAGGTTCTGTCTCCGCACTCCGCATTGCGTGGTTGCAGGGTAGAGCGCTGGAATGAGATGAGAAGAAAACGGGAAAAAAACCTTCCGGGCGTTTCCGGTCGTCTCCCTATCCCCCCTCCCCGTGGCTGTACCTGTCCGTGCCGCCTGACGTCAGGTGTCTAAGTTCTAGAGACAAGGATGATTTATTCCAACAGGAATTGTCACGTGGCCAAGGAGGGCACTGCGAACAAAGGGAACCGAGGGGACAACGAAGGCGAGCAGGCGGTGCCCGCACTCTCCTGATTGGACTCCCCAGAGATCTGGCCACTGGAGCGAACCCACGGATACGTCGGCACTGGGCCGCCTCTCTGGTGCCGGCGCTGCCCGCCGTCGACCATGCACGCCGTAAGCCACCCAACCACGAGGACCAAGGACAAGGGACTTTCCCGCGACCCGAGCCCCCGCTGTACCATGACGTGAGCAAAGAAATAGCTTGTCTGCGACGTGATTCCATTTCGAAGCGATCGGTGGGAAACGTTGAAAACACCTCAACATGAATGATGCCATATATGTCATGCTATTTAACAGTGACCTGTACAGTTACTTTTTACACGATAGAGAAAATTAGGGAGATGACCAATTCATATGATTCAATTCTAGACATTTTGGGTCTTACCGAAAATATTAAGGTTTACTTTATTTCGAGGTATCTATGGAAACGACATCACGCAATCTATAATACTTTTCGTCGTCTTGTTCTTTTTGTATAATACAGGTATCACGGTGTTTCTGACAGGTATGCGAAAATAAATATTTAGATATTGTTCAGCCAGTTTTGAGTGATTTCAATCATTTTCAGTTTGTTTTACTTTGTGGAGAAGCGATTATCATTCTTTGTTACAGTCGATATTTATTAGAGCGCAGCTCTTAGGGGCCCGTTCCCGGCTTGAGCGGCGTCGCCGTCGCCGTCGCCGTCGCCGTCGGCGTAACCAAGGTCATCCCAAGGTCACGTGACCCCCAAGGTCACGTGACCCCTCCAGGTCACGTGACCCCTCCCAAGGTCATCTCAAGGTCACGTGACCCCACGTGACTCCCAAGGTCACGTGACCCCTCGAGGTCACGTGACCCCTCCCAAGGTCATCTCAAGGTCACGTGACCCCAAGACCCCACGTGACCCTTTGAAGGTCACGTGACCCCCAAGTCACGTGACCCCTCTGAGGTAACGTGACCCCCGAGGTCACGTGGTCTCCTCCCCAAGGTCACGTGACCCCCAAGGTCACGTGACCCCTCCCAAGGTCATCTCAAGGTCACGTGACCCCAAGGTGACCCCCACGTGACCCCCAGGTCACGTGACCCCTCTGAGGTCACGTGACCCCCCGAGGTCACGTGACCCCCCTCCCCGAAGTCACGTGACACCCCCCCCCCCCCGAGGTCACGTGACCGCCCCCCGGAGCATATTAAAGAATGAGGGGAGGAGGAGGGGTCTACCCTCCCCTCAGTACCCTTCACTCCTCCTCCTCAAGAGCTGCGCTCCAATTCGGCGTTACAGGGATTTGTAAACGGCTTTCACTTTTTTTACACCTACGTTAAGCGATGTTTTTTTTCGAAGGCTTGCATGTAGTTGACCACACTAGAAGTCTGAGGAAGACTCGAGCCACACACTGCAGCTTTTTTTTTTTTTTGGAGACCCCCATAAACCTTGATGAAAACAAACATATTACTGGTCGGCTGAGTTATATAATTTCTACCCTGACACACTTTATACTTTTCCGCGGGGTGCACTAGGTTATAACGCACAGTCAGAAACATGCTCATACTAGAAGGGGGCTAAAAAGTACAAGTTTGCGCAATATTGCTTCCATAGTAACCCTGAGACGTAGGGGAAAAAAAAATCGGACAGGACAACAAAGTCTCTAACACAGCTTGATATTTATTAAACAACCATTGCCTTATATACACGTCCCAGACCTCCATCACAATTCAAAAGACCTCCTCACCCTCTTCACAGTGTACCCTAACTCTCAACCTATACCGACAAACGCACACACCCCACTTGGCTAGGTCAGACTGAACCCAACAACACTTACGAACTTCTTTCTTTCATATCAAGAGACAAACAAGGTTGTCCGACAGGGATACCACGAAAAACCACACCAAATATCATGTTGACATCCAAGAACTGTGGGCTGCCTCTATACAGTGATTCTAATGTGAATTCCTACGATCCGTGCACTTCCCTATACTTCTTCAAATCGGAAAGCAAACGAAAAATAATCCACGTATCTGAAATACCTCGCTACTCCATTCTCCTCAAAAATTGTTCTAATGTCCTATGGCCTCGTGAGAGGTAAATGTCGCATAATGCATGAACCTATGCAGATGCCTTTTTTCTGTGAGTATACTTTTCCTTCTAGCATGACGTGTAGAGAACATACATAGGTTAGTATGTTACCTATGAAATCCTTTACACTGATCCCACATAAATGTTTGAATTGTACAGCGCCGTATGCGTCGATACATTCTTCCACTGCCTCTAAGATACTGGACATGTTTTCGGGATAGTGTAGAACAGCGCATACATGCTACAACGACTTACGAAGAGTTTGTTTAAGTTATGAATCAATCAGCAACAGAAGCAACTAGGACTGTCAATCTTTCGGCCTCACGAACTGTTGTAGATGCAGACTATGAAAAACTTCGAGCTATTCGTCGAAGGGCTGAGCGACGTGCACGTCAAACTAAACTACAAGCTGACATTAGGAAAGACAGGCGCACACAAAAAACACATTCGCCGTTACTTGGATAAACTCGGCCGGAAGAAATGGAAGGGAACCTGTGCGTCATTTGATCCCCATGCTCCCCTCTGAAAAATATGGCATATTGCACGCGGATTAAGATTTCCATCACAACAGAGAACGCCTTTTCTTCCCATATCTCTTTTCCTAAGACGCCCGCGATTGAACATTGCTAAGGACTTCTGCGCATAGCTTGTCCTATCAGCAGTGAGTGAAAATCATCGTTTACATATAAAGCATGAGGCCTCAATTACTCCATTTTCAGGTACGTTACATCGATGACGTATTTAATGCCCAGGAAGTTGGTAAAGTTGAGGCTTCCCTCAGTCATTCTTCGTCGCCAGGTCCAGATAACATAACCTATGGCAGATAACACAACCTATGACGCTCGCTAGCAATTGTTAGACATATTCAACCTTTCTAGGACAAGCGGTAATATACCACCTGACTGGAAAATTGCCAGCTTTGTGACCATCCTTAAACCGGGTAAGTCTTACCGACCAATCGCTTTAACAACTTGTGTCAGCAAGTGTATAGAGTGATTAGTTCTATCATGAATAGAATAGCTTCTTGAATCGCAACCAATATACCCAGCTACTATGACAGAATCTAGACAGGGTCGTAGCTGCATTGAAAGTACCGTGGACCTTGTAACCCAGTTTGAAGACCAGAAGCTGCGCAGAAAATGACAATAGCTGTATTTCTTGATGTCCGCGGCGCTTTTGATAATATAAAATATTCCGCAGTCTTACGGGGTCTCCAATCTATCGGAATTGGTGGTCATTTATATGAATGGGTTGCTGATTACCTTCACAATCGAACGATCTACATGCACACAAAGGAAGGGGAAACTTCTCGTCACACAGTGACAAAAGATGTGCCTGAGGGGTTTGTTCTAAGAGCCGTCCTCTTTAACATCGCCCTTATCGGGATCACAGAAATGATCACAAATCTGTACACATTGCAGTCTATGCAGATAACAATCGCCTCTGGACGTCTGCAGGCTCACCTAAGCTCATACATACACACCTGTAAGATGCGCTGTCGAACATTTCTCATTTGCTTAAAATTCGTGGGCTTGATATTCCGCTAGCCAAATCAACTGCTGTGACCGTTACACAGATGAAGATGACTCGTAATCTACTTTCCATTAATGAAACTCCAATTCCATATGCACATAATCCCAAGTCTTAGAATTACTTTGATAAAGCTTTAATTTGGAACTCGCAACTAAAACACCTAAAGACTGAGTTGTCCGCATTCACAAGTTTGGGGTGATTTATAAGTGGCAGAACTTGGGGGCGCCTCTTCATCGTTTATACAATGGCCTATTTGCTGGCATCCCTCGCTATACACTCCATGCGGGAACTATAGGGGGCGCTTTGAAAAACGCGCGCAGCGCCGCTAGCGGAGGAGCTGGCGTTCGACTGTGAGGCGCGTTCAGCAGCCTGCAGCGCCTTTTCGCGTGCCAAGCTGTGGCGGCGGAAGCGCGCACGGACGAAACTTTTGCTTTTTGAGCCGATAAGTTGAGGGTGACGGTTGCATGAGTGCTGGGGCAGAAGGGCATTTAGCTGCTCACCACTTCTTATATATTGAGTTCGAGTCGTAATTAGGGGTAATTTCTCTAGTCGCGGCCGAAAAAGGAGTTGGAGTAATTTTCCGAAAAACAAAGACGGCCGCCACCTTAATTGCTCTGAGTGGCAAATTTATTTCGCTCGTCGCTGTAAACCTAGGACTGCTGCAAAGATGATATTTGGAGTCGAGTGAGATGTTCACTAAGTTTGTGCACGAAGAGTGCCAAGTTTCTTTAAGACAGCAGTTGTGAAAGTTATGTTTCTAACGAA